GGAGGAGACGTGAGGGGGAGAGGGCCCGACACACGCAGCGCGAGCGTAGGGAGTTGCGTGGGAGGAGGAGAGAGGAGAGCTTCGTGCTGGAGGAGACTATTACCATCTCTATCTGACGGGCACCGAAGGAGACGCGCCCAGATCACATGGCCCCCGTCACCATGGCAACACAACTGGGGCTGCTGGTGGTCAGGGAAGGAGTCCAGATCCCTCGGCGCCCTTCGGGGGGCAAAGCCCAAGGTGGCCAGAACATATCCTCGCACCCACCTGCCTGGGGCAGCCCGCGACGTTGGCCGTGCCGGGGAGCCAGCCTGCCAGCCCGGCTGAGGCAGGCACTCGGCAGACACGCCCCCCACCCCAGGGCGAGGTGCTAGGGTGGGAAGGTGGGTGATGCCACCCAGGCCAGTCCCAGGGGCGCCCCCACTCTGGGCAGCCAGGCAGGCAGGCAGGCGTGCTCGGGGGAGTGAGCACTGAGCTGAGGGAGACTTGGGAGCCCGTGCGGCTGTGCCGTGGGGACCCTCTGCGGCAGCCCGGGCACGGCCGTGGCGGACGCAGCACGGCAGCACGGCAGCAGCAGAGGACAGGCCCGCGGCAGGAGCAGAAACCCCGCAGCAGGGCGAGGCGGGGGCACAGGGGCAGGCCGCACTAGGCGGGGGCTGCTGGGGGTCAGCACAAGCCCCCCCTAAGGGCAGGGGGACGCCTGGGGGGTCTGGGCAAAGCCACTCCTGACACTCGGCAATGCAGACACATGCTGGAAGGGCCAGAGTCAGAGAATGTGGGAGGCCCTGTGAGAGAGCCCCAGGGAGAACAGGGCGGGGGCTGGGAGTGGCCAGAGACGGAGCGGGCGGGCTTCGGGGGCTGACGGGGACGGGGACAGGGCTGGGGTGAAGAGGGTGCCGGAGAAGGGGAGGAAAGGGTCATGAACGAAGGACTAGCATCTCTGACTTCCAGCCCGTTCCCCTGAGACACGAACGATGGGGTGGGGGGACCAGCAGCCCCCGAGCTTGGCGTGGTGCATGCTGGGTGGTGCGTGTGTGGAAACAACCACATGCCACCCGTCTCTGCCCCCCTCTGAGCCAGACCCAAGCCCCCCGAGGGTGGCGGCTGCCAGCCACGGCCTTAGGAGGGAGCTGGAAACAGAGCCTGTGCCAGGGTGCACCGTGCTGCTCTCGGGGGCGTTGTGTGCTTGCAGAGACGGAGAGAGCAGTGCGGATTAGAGAGCCAGACCCAGCCACAAAAGGCCCCATTAACCTGCAGCCGGGCAGGGCAGTCCTCCCAGGCTGGGTAAGCGGCTTACTAACTGATAAGAAGAAAGTGTGAGGCGGCTGGAGGGGAGTCTGCCCCTGGTTTGTGGGCAGGCAGGCGGCTCTCAGGGGCTGGAGAAATACAGGACCTTCTTCTGCTCCCTGGGAGGGGGACCCTCGGCAGGGGGCTCCCAGCAGCCCTGGACGACTGTGGCTGGCTAGCACCGCGCAGCTATGGAGTCAGACAGACCCGCTGACAGGACCAGGGTCCTCGGAGCCCCGGTTAGCCTGTCCCCATGCAGAAGGCCCAGCAGCAGGGGCACTGCTGTGGCCGGGAGCCAGGGCTTTGCAGCCGCTGGCTGGCGTGCTGCTGTTTTCAGAGTGTGGTTTTTCTCCCCGGTCCACACCGTGTTTCCTGGTCCACAGGCGTGTGGATCGCTCTGCTCTGCTGCCCATGGCTCCGAGGGCCACTCCTGGACGTCCTGACGCCTCTGGAGAGCCCACGGGAGGGAGCACGTGCCACATGGGCACAGGGCTTGGGCACCGGGCTTGGGCACCACAGCACATGAAGGCCCCCAGGATGCACAGAAGATGCGGGGACGCAAGAACGAGGAGGCAGTGGGTGGTTTGGGGGAGTGGTGCTGTGGCTTGCCTCGGTGGGGCAAGAGGCACGGGGGCAAAGAGCACTGGGGGAAAGGTCAGCCGGCCCCACCCTCTGCCCTGGTTTCCATCCGGGGGCCACGATCCCTCAGGACATCCGGATCGGGGAGGACCTGTGTCACCTGGACACCTGACGAATAATAAAATGTGGAAGTGTGTGAATTTCCTAAGAACAAAAGTTAGCACAGATCTGACTCGGTTTCTAAGAACCCCTTTCGCTGCCTCCGATCCCGAACTATCGTTCCCAGGTGTGAAGTCGCTGCCGGGGCCGGCACACGCCCCAGAGCCTGGTCACACCCACAACGCCTGCAGGGCCGGTGGCTGCCACACGTAACCGGGCATGGACGGCTGAGAACACGCACACGGAGGTGTCGAAGGGCTGTCCTCCCTGCGGGAACGGGGGGGGGGGGACGACAACTCGGATGAGGACAGCGGTGCTCCACGGCCAGAATCAAAACGGGTCACAGTGGCTGCCCCTGTCCTGGCTGAACGGGATGCAGGGGCCTGCCAGGAACAGCCACAGAGGAAAACACTGTGTAGCAGATGAAAGCCAGGAGTCTTATCTCCCTTTGAACAGAAGAGTGGGTGCCGAGACCAGCAGGTGCCCCAGCACCTGAAGGGGGGGGGGAGAGACAGAGCCGCCCACCCTTCACAGGACCCCTGGGGACGGTGTGGGACATCTAGGACCATCCCAGCACAGCGCAGAGCCCCACAGGGACAGGGCAGCGGAGACCCACACGCCGTATCCCAGGCTCCCCGCCGAAGGCCTGGTTGCCGCACCCCAGCACTCAGTCCGCACCCGGGCCGCCGCGGCGCCGTCCGCAGCCAGAAACCCGACGTCCAGGGCAGAGGAGAGGGCTGTGGGCCTCCGTGCCTCTGTGCCCGGCCTGTGGACCGGCCACATGCCGCCCCTGCTCCCCTCAGGCCTGAGCGAACGCTGGAAGTCTGCTTTGGGCGGGGGGCTCGGCCTCAGGGGGGAAAAGAGGGGAAGCCCGCAAAGAGGGGGCGTTTGTTCGGGAAACTCGAGGCCCCAGGACCCCGACGCGGGACATGAACCCAGAAACCCCTCTCGGGAGCGAGCGCAGAGAGCCGCGTCCCCCAGGAGTCCCCAGGGCAAGTGCAGGGTCCCTGCGGGGGCCGGGCAGGGGGGCCTTCTTCCCGTCGGGGCTCCACTCAGAGGAGGAGAGGAAGAGAGAAGACGAGGAAAGGAGACCGGACTTCCTTCAGGAAGCCAGGACACCCAAGTCTTCCCCCAGTTTCCCTCCTGCCTGGCCCTGCCCTTGACTTCCAGCCCCCACGGGGCACAAGAAGCTTCCTCATCAGCGGCACCAACCGTGCCCCCCTTCACCCGGCTGCAGGCTCCCTTCCGGGGGTCTCAGAAGTCTCCCTCCACGTCCACACCCTGCTCCTCGCACCAAGCCCCTGCTCCGTGCTCCCAGCCACAGACCCTCAGATACGCCCTCTCCCCCAGCCGAGGGGGAAACGCAGTCGGAGCGTCGGACGCACCCAGCCACCACCCAGCTGGGAGAAGGCCCCGCCCGTCCACGCTCTGCAAGGACAGAGCGCCCAACGGCCCCTCCCCCAGCAGTCACACCGGAGGGACCCCAAGACACGCCACGCCAGCGGCAGCCCCTGAGATCTGCTGGCGGGAGCCGGACCCTGCACACCCAGACTCTGGCAGGGCTCTCCCATCCACTCAGAGGGCAGTTACCATCTGTTTATGGGGAAAACGTGGACCACCCCCAGTCGTGACCCGACGGGCCGCTGCTTCACTGGGGCTCCCGCCCAGGGGAGCCGTCCTGCAGCGCCCACCGGGGCCCCAGCACACCTCCCGCCCCCAGAAGGAGGGGGAGCAGGCAGGAGCTCAGGAGCCCGACCAGCCGTTCCCGACTCCCCACCTTTCCCAGCCTGCCTTGCGGTGACCTGTGCAGCTTCATCAGCAGCAGAAAGCATGTGTGCACAGAAACTCTGGCTTCTCAGAGGCCAGCCAGCCAGTCCGTGTTTGCTATTGCTGCCTTTTTGTGTTCCTGTGGGTGTTCTGAGCTTACAGGGTGGGGGGTGTCACCAAACCTTTGGAGGATGTAAGAAAAGCTATGACCTAGTTCCATTCCAAACTCCCCACTCTGCCCTGCTGCACGCAAACACTGAAAACACTTGCATGGGAGCTCAGGGGACCACTGTCCCCACGAATCTCGTGCGCGCACCCCCCTTCCATGCCAGAGCCCCAGGACCAGGACCCTCCTCGCAGACCCCAGTTCCCGTGCAGAAGCGTGGAAGCTCACCCTTCAGGCTCCCCTCCCCTCCCCAGAAGGCACCGTCTGACTCCAGCTCAGCAGCCCTGTGGCTTGTTGCACCTTCGATCGCCCCACCCTCCGTCTCCTCCCTCACCTCAGCCACAAACAGAAACCTAGCGGGGGGCAGATCTTGAAACTCAAGTTTCTGAAATCCACAGGAACTGGTACCCAGCCTCCTTGGAGCCCTTTGGTCAGACTAGTCCACGAGAACAGCAGGGGGATGCAGATTCATCCCCCACCCGCCCCCCTCGGTGCACATCCACTTCCACCCGCACGCCGGCCACGGGCGGGGTGGGTGCCGTGTGTGGTGGCAGGCGGCCGGCAGACGCTGCTCTCGGCAGCCGGCCTGGACTCTGCGTGGAGCTGTGTGCTGGCGCACCCCTGCGCAGGCAACGCCTCAGGGCCGGACCCCGCCCTCCCTCGACCCCTGCACCCACCCTCTCATCACAAGCCAGGGCCCGGGTGCAGCAAGAACAGAACCAACTCACTCCAGCGAGGAGCCCTCTCGCCCGTCAATAACGGAAAGAACCCAAAGTCCTCTTCACAGGCCGAGAATCCAGCTTCCTCCCAGATGACCCTCGCCGGCCCCGCCCAGCTAGGAAGTGTTTTCGGCAACACCGCACAGCCCCCCGGCTCGGTCCCCGCAGACCCCAGCCCAGCGTTCAGTCCCTCGTCACCCACCGCAAAGGTGCAGATGGGAGGGGGCCCTCTGGGGGGCCCAGGGTGGGGGCACGAACAGCACCTCGTCATCGCAAAGAGCCGTGCCACCCCCAGGGGACCCTGGGCGGCAGGCCCGCCTTACCCTTCATCCCGAACTTGGACCGTCGGCCGTACTTGTTGATCATGATGAAGAGGACCACCAGCAGGACGCAGGCGAAGGCGGCGAGCCCCACGGCGATGGACACCTGCCGGGGCCAAAGCGAGAGTCGGCGGGGCCCTGTGTCCCTCCGGGCACCGGGAGGGCCCACTCGAGGCGGGCCCTGCGGCAGGAGCGGCGGTGGCCCTGGTGGAACTCGGCCCCTGAGCGATGCCTTTAGAAGAAGTAGTTTGGGAGGCCCGGGACCACCGAGGTAACCAACTCCCCAGCGGGCTCCGAGCAGGTCCCGAGATGCAGGGTCCGAGCCCCTGTCCGCGGGGCCGCCCAGCTGAGGGTGCAGGGGCCGAGAGAGGTGGCGTCCTCCTCTCATTTTGTTGTCCTTTTAATTAGCAAGCAAATTCCGCATACTCAAATTGAAGTTATGTACAGAATACTCCTATCCTGGAAGTTCTGGGAGACCTGGACTCTAAAAAGACCCCTTTCCTCTCCTTCCCACGAGAAACCTCAGGCTCTGACCGGCGGCGGGGTAGGTGCGGGCACACGGGGCTCCACACAGCCACCTGGGCAGATGCTCTGGGTGGCGAGGCCGACTTTGCATAAACGTGCACAGGGAGCAGGCTCTCCAAATCGGGTCCTGCCGGGTTCCCAACACAGAGGGGGTTTGCCCGAGCCCCAGGGCTTGGAGCAGACCCTCAACGTCTGCCTCCAACAAGGAATCATTCTCATCAAACACGGAAAAGGCCCGCCCGCCTGAAAGGGGCCCCCTCAACCCGGCTTCCGTCTGCCGGGAATGCCGGGGTCCCGAGCAAGGGCACACCGGGGAACGTTAGCGCCTCAGAGGAAGCATGACAACGCCCTCCTCTCAACCAAGCAGTCACTCACCCCGAAAGTGTCTTCCTCTGGTTTGTGGGTCACAGTGATCGGCGGTGTGGGGCTCACTTCATAGACTGGAAACCAAACAGAAGAGGGGGAGGGGTTGGCTTGCTGGCCAGGAGAGGCTCCGAGCCAGCTTCCCTCCCCACCCCCACCCCCCGAGCCTCCAGGCCCGGGAGAGCACCCGGGAGAGCACCCCCGTGCAGCCAGACTCTGACTACCTGCCTCCCCAGGGACCAGCCCCTGCTGGCGGCCCCGTGGCTGACTGGCCTCTGCTGCAGGCTCTCCCTCCTCTCCCCCATCAGGGAGGCAGACCCAGGAGGCCTGGGGCCCCCCTCTCTGCCCACGAGCGCCCCCCTGATGTGGATTTCCAAACACGCTGGCAGCAAGCCCCTCGGCCCAGCACACGCCCGCTCCCCAGCAGGTGGGAACCCAGGGGTCACCCTGCCTTCCATCTGGAGTCACCTCCTTGGCCAGAGGCGACCCAATTCAGAGTCCTCCGGAAGGAGGCGAGTCCTCTGAGACTGAGGACAATTAAGAACCCCAGGTGGCGTCCACGTCGGTGTTCAACAGCACGGGGTGCCCCAAACAGGACTGTCTACGGCTGGCGCCGGTCCCCTCCCGCGGGGACCCGAGGAAAACCCACACGTACGTTTCCCACGGCCCAAGACTGAAACCCCGAATCCTTCTGGGACCGTCCAGTCCTAGCCCTAAGTCATGCGTGAACCAAGCCTCAGTGACCCCTCTGAGACACAGCAACCTCTCAGGGGACCCTGGAGGTCACAGCTGCACATGAGGCCTGGCCACGTCTGGGGCCTCGGGGCAGGTGGGAAGCACAGCGGGGCCCGGGGCTGCGGGTTCTCTCCACCAGAACAGCCAGGATCGCCCTGGTGGGTGCGGCTCACTGGACTGAGTGCCAGCCTGTGAAGCTTAGAGTGGCCAGTTCGATTCCCAGTCGGGACACATGCCTGGGTTGTGGGCTGGGTCTCCAGTGGGGGGCACTTGAGAGGCAACCACACATTGATATTTCTCTCCCTCTCTTTCCCCTTTCCTTCCCCTCTCTCTAAAAATAAATAAATAAAATCTTTAAAAAAAAAAGGAACAGCCAAGATGGCCAACTAGGGTCTTTCTACGGGACGCACATGACCCCACGTGCCCCCTTTCAACACGTTCTGGCCTTAGAAACACCCCTCTGGGGGAAACTGAGGCACGGAGCTGCTGCCCAAGGGGCATGGGCTTGGAACGGCCCGAGAAGTCTCTCTACTCTCCCGGCTGGCTCCAACTGCTCTCGGCTGCCCGGGGTCAGGGGTGGAGGTGGACCAGGGGAGCTGGCTGCCTGGGCTCAACAGCTACCAGAAGGGTCAGAACAGATCGGCTTCAAGGCAAAAGGAAGAGCAGACTTACTCGAGACGAAGTTGTCCGTGCTCTCTGCAAAAGAGACAGAGAGACAATTACCCGACGCAGTGCAGAACAGAAGGGGGCGCTGCGTTCTTCCCAGCTGCGACCTCGCCCACCCCCATGACCCCCCCCCACCCCCCCGTCACCCCAGCGACTGGAAACTAAAGTCCTTGGAGAGTCTCCCCTCCCCCACTGTCCACCACGTCTCTAGGAGAGTGGTCCTCCAAACGCAGGCGGCATCAGAGAGAAAGTTCCCAATTTCACGAGAAGTGGCCCGGCCCGCCTGGGGCCTAGGAAGCAGGCTACAAGATGGGGAATTAAATCTAAGACACGACGTCTCACCGACAGTCTGCCCTCCTTTGGGTAACTAAAGTGCTGGGGGTCCCGGGGGCTCGTGAGACCCTGAGGAGATGCTGCAGGGTGGGCTTGGACCTCCCTGAGAATGCCAGCTAGGCCCTCAAGACAAAGCTCCTCAAACTGCTATGTGCAGGCTATGCTGTAGGTCACTGGGACGTGCTGGGGCCCCCCCACCGCTGACCCGCCCCCAGGTGACCCGGAGTCACTCGCCGTCTGGCCTCCAGCAGCGGCTCACAGAATGGCGAGGGCTCAGCCTCCCTAGACACGGATTCTGCACCAGGAGCTGCAGTAAACGCATCCTGTAATGCACCATGCCATCCTCGTAACCGTCCCAGGAGGCAGGTGGCATTGCCCCCGTTCGACAGGCAAGGAGCCCGGCTGACTGACGGAGGTTAAGAAACTAACGGGCTCCCACTCATCTCAACACTGGGTCGGAATGCGAGTCTCGGCTCCAAGCGCCAGCGGGAAGTGGAGTCACTCCGAGGCTGCTCGCTGCGGCTCCCCGGCGGAAGACACGGGGGCCCCTCGGAGAAGTCCCTACTCCCGGGGCCGGGCTGGAGAAGCCCAAGATGCGCCTGGAGCACCCGCAGGCACCAGAACGTGAGACCCTGCCCACACGTAACAGGGGTGTGGAGAAAGCACGCCGGTGCCAGCTCGACGGGGTCCCCAAGGGCCAGAGCTCGGATGATTTGAGCAAGAAAATAAGGATGAGTTACCCCCTCCCGAAATGTGCAGGTTGGCATTCTCACCCCCAGGACATCCGAACACGACCGCATCTGGAAATGGAGTCCTGAAAGGGCTGAGAGAGTTAAAGTGAATCCAGTCTGACCGGTGTCCCTACGGAAAGGGGAGGTGAGGAGCCAGGCGCACGGAGCAAGGACGACGTGAGGACACCGGAAGGGGGCGCGAGCCGAGGAGAGAGCGGCCTCGGGAGGAACCGGCCCTGCTGGCTGAGGCCGCGACCTCAAACTCTGAACCTCCGGGTCTGAGAGAAAGTCCGTGTCTGTGGGTTCAGCCACCCGGCCTCCGGCACTCTGTTATGGTGCCCCACGCGTGGGATTACAAGCCGCAGGACCAACGAAATAAACACCCACGAGCCCGCCCCGAGGTGAGATAAGTAACTGAACAGATGAGTGGGGAAGAAGAGGCAGCTCCTCCGTGCAGTGAGCAGAGCTCCCATGAATAAACGCGGGAGGAAGGAGGAGAACAGGGAACCCACCAGTGACACACGCCCCAGCAGTGATTGCTCCCTCCGGGCGCGAGAAGCATCAGTGAATGCTGAAATTAACATGTGAAAGCAAGGGGAAAACAAGCCACTTTCAAAAGTCCCGAACACGCCGTACCTACTAACAAGGAAGGGAAAACCATCACCTCGCGGTGCAGAAACTGGGCTGGCCCGCCCCCGACCGAGGGTCAGCATCCTATTGGTCGGCATCACCGGCGCCGGGACGGGGAGTCAGACCCAGAGCACACAGCACCCCTGCTGCGACGATGTGGCCCAAAACTGGAAAGCGACCCCAGGCGAACCCAAACTGTGAGACAGCCTGGGGCACAGCCAGGGAGCATTCCTCAAAAGTGTGCGGACCGTGGGAGACCGAGGAAGACAGGGGACTGTCCCAGATTTAAAGAGGACAAGGTGACACAGCAACACAGAGTCCTGGACCGGGTGCCAGGGAAGAAAGAGGCAGCTCTGGGCCGCTGACAAGGTTTAAATAAAGTCTGCAGATTCGATGACAGCTCCACACCGCTGTCAATACCCTGCGATGGGGTAAGGTGGTAACATTTCAGGGAAGCACGGTGGAGGGTGTAAGGAAGTTCTCGGTGCTATTTCATGACTTTGGGGGGAGGTCAATGTCAAACGGCTCCAAAAAGAAAAGTTAAAAATCTTTTTAAATGCTTTAAAAAAGAAACCTAGATTACTGGCCCACCCACCCTGCCACACACAGGGTTTCTGACTCAAGGGGTCTGGGGTGGGTCTGGAGAACCTGCATTTCCCATCAGCCCTCAGCTGCTGTGGATGCCGCTGGTCCCTCTGAGAACCGCTGCGTCATGCCACACCCAGACAGATTCGGGATTAGAACTCGCTCCCTCATCCATCCATCCGCCCACCCACTTAGTAGGACCACCACGAGAACCGAAGGCCAATTCATTGAAAGAGCCCCAAACGATGTGTGATGACAATTATAACATGGTAGTATAATTGTAAGTAATTACAATTATATTTTGCAGAGCAGATAGTGATACTTATAATATACGCGGCCCAGGCCCCTGGGCGGGTGGGGCCGCACATGCTCGGTCTGTCTGGCCTCACAACCCTTGTTCTCCACGTCCGCGCTCTGCGTGTGGGAGCGGGAGGGGCCCACACGGTAACTGTGATAACTGTGCTGTCCCCACGGCCTCACGGCACAAGGGAAGCGCAGGAACCCACAGGCCGCCTCTGGGTCCGGGCGAGGTAGGCACGAGGCTCACTATCTGCCTGCTCCCCTGGGTGATTTACTCTCCTGGACGCTCAGCCGTGTTGTCACTAGGTGCAGCTGGCCCGTCTTTTCCCTGTCACCACCTTCTCATCATCCTCCGCTTCCTTCAGTCTCACAAAACAAGCAAACCATCGAGCGGGGTGGCCCTGGCGGGGCGGGGCTGGGCCTGAGGACACGACTGCAGGGGAGTCTGTCCTCCTCCTGTCGCCTGGCAACCGAGTCCCCCAAATGCCCCAGCAGCCACAGGTCACAGGCATGGCAGCATCTGAGCCCCCAGGGGCCTTGTTAAAGCCAAGGCCCCGCCCACCCCGGAGTTTCCAATTCCGCAGAGCCAGGGGTGCTCCGGAATCTGACTTCCAGCACGGGCTGGCCTGGGGACCGCCCCCCGGGGAAGTGCCAGCCTGAGGAGAGGTGGCAGGGGCACAGCAATGTCCAGAGCCGGTGAGAAGGGGCTGCTGAGTCTCCCCGGGACAGAGGCCACATCTGTGTGGCCGGGAGGGTGGGCGGAGCTGCTCCCTCCTGCAGGGAGGCAGGGCCAAGGAGAGGCCGTGCCCACCAGGGCATCCCACTGTCCCCGGCCCTCCGGACCCTCTGTGCAGAGGGGCCCAGCATGGCCCGCCCCCCCTTCTGAGTGTCTTAGGGTCCCCACTCTCTCTAGGCCCCAGGAGCTGCCCTTTAGAAATAGGGGGCTTCACCCCTTGCCCACGTGACAGTGTAGAGTGTCCACTCAACAGAACTCATTCTCCAGTCATGAGAGGGGAAAGGCCAGGCCAAGGGTCGCACCAGCCCTTGATGCCCGCAGGGCCCAGGCTCCTGCTGTGGCCGTGAGAGCATAGCCTCGTGCGCCCAAGGGCTACCGCTCCCACCGTGTGGGCCAGGGCTGCCCCGCCTCCCGAAACAGGGCCCGTGGGGCCCAGATGCAAACGCTCGAGGCCTCTGACCAGGCACACCAAGGACAATGCCCCGCGGGGTGGCCAGGGTCTCGGACATCAGCAGGCCCAGGCCTCTCCTGAGCTCCATCTCACCCTGGGCGGCAGTGGCAAGGAGTGAGCTTCCCATGCAGCCTCACTTCCCCCACATCTCGCCCTCGAAGCAGCTGCAGACGTCCGAGTTTGGGGGTGGGGTCTGCACTGAGATGAGCGAGGCCTCCGGGAGCCGCTGCCCCCGCTGTCCGGGGACGCCGAGTCGCCTTCACACACGAGGAGTGCTGCACAGTGACGGCTCTGCGTCTCTCTCCTCCCTCCCTGTCTCTCTCTTTCTCTGTCCTTTATCTCATCAGAACCCCCAGTTTCTGGAAACTAGGGGCCAAGAGGTCAACCAGCTTGCTACAGCAGGAATTGCTAAGGCCATCCAAGACCCGTGGCCTCATCCACGGAAACCTACCGACTGCCGAACCCACCATGAGATGCGGCAACCACTTGCTCTAAACTCTTCGGGCGTCGTCTTCTCCTCCGACCTCAGGAAGGCACTGGAAATATTCTAGTCCAGACAGAGGCAGGCAGGACCCCCCCAACACTCAGACAAAGTTTTGCCAAGGCTTCAGTTGCCACCCTGGTGCAGCTGCCATCAGCCACATCACAACGGAGGGCATCAGCTGTCGCCCATCAGCTCGGCAGGGAACGGGAGAGGCAAGGAGCCACGCACACAGGCCTGGAAGCCGGACCCTGCCCCGGCCGCGCTACTGACCAGCACCAACGGGGAGGTCCGGACCACTCCCCATCCAGTGCGGAGGGGAGCTGGAGAGGCGCTGGAGCCCCTCGCAGTGGACGGCCACGGAGCCACCATGGTGCACCACAGCCTGTGTGGCACGTGCTTTACAGACCTTAAGTCATTTCAAAGCCACCAGATTCTAACGGGAGAAGCGCAAACTGTGCTCATTTCACAGACGAGGAAACCGAGGCTCCGAAAAACAAACTGTCGTGTCCGAGGTCTCCCGACAAAGAAAAGCCTGGGTCAAGAGTCCCTGCCCTTCCTGTCCAACTCTCAAGTCCCTGCTTTCTCCGCGGCACACACTGTGCCCTCGCCCACACAACTGCGTACTTCCCAGGGGGCCTTGGTTTGCACCGTGACAGCTACTGGAAACCAGAGACTCTTCCTAGGTGACACAAACCGCTGGGGTGGCTAGTCAGTGACACATGGTTATGGGGTCAATGTCAGTGTTGCTTGACCCCTCGAGCTGCGTGCCGGACCCCCAAGCTCCCGCACAGAACCCGCCCTCACCGGGAAAGGGCTCCTTGAGGAAGTGGCCGTTGATGGTCTGGCTGGCGGTGCCCAGCGGGTTCTGGGCGATGAGGGTGTAGTTGCCGTTGTTGTAGTGGGTGGGCTTGTTGAAGAGCAGGCAGCCCTCGGAGACCTCGCCCTCCTGGTAGTGCTCCACGCGGATGATCCTGGACTCCCGCAGGGGCTGCCCGTTGTGCAGCCAGCGCAGCGTGGGCGGCGGGTTGCCGCGCACCACGAACTCGATGCAGTGCTCCAGGCGCGGCTCGGGCTCCTCCAGGCTCACCACGCGCGGGGGGTCTGCGGGGAGAGGCCAGCTGGCGCCCAGCACGCAGAGGCTCCCGTGTCCTGGGGCGGCCTTCCCGGAACCCGCATGGGAATCCCAATTCTAACCCCGCACCCAGCTCCGAACAGACTGAGAAAATCAGAGGCGCCGCCCCCCACCCCCCAGCAGAGGGTGAGAGACATATCTTCGCCAAGCTCCCGGACCCACCACAGCTACAGGGCCCCCCTCGCGACCCTTCCGGGGCTTAATGACAGGCGGCCTGGGGTCAAACTAGAAGTGTCCTGCAGGCCTGGCGGAGTTGGAGGCACAGCCTGCTCTGAGGGGCAGACAGGAAGGCATGCAACCCAGCCGCGGCTACTAGCCCAGGCAGGACGGACTTGCTCTGATGAGAAGCGTGCGTCTGCCCATCCTGGTAGCCCCGCCCCTGGCCCTGGCTCAGCCCCGCCCCCCGGCACGGCGCCCCGCCCCCACACACCACCACTCCCCCAGCACGGCGCCCACTCACAGTGCACGGTGAGGGCGACGCTGGCGTTGCTCATGCCCACCACGTTCTCCGCGATGCACGTCAGGGTGAAGCCGTTGTCCTCGCTCGTCACGTTGACCAGCGTCAGGTTGATGGCGTGCACGTTGGTCCAGTTCAGATTGGTCTGAAACCCCGACAGAGACGTAGTGGTCCAACCACTGCTACACGCCGGCCCCCCCGCCCAGCCCCCAAACGGCTTCAGGAATCAAGTGGACAGTCTGAGCTGATGGTGAAGGTGGCCTGACCGGCGAATGCGCACTGACCAAGGGCCAGGCCCTCTCTGGCCAACGGCGCGGTCACCCTCACGTGTGCCCAGAGACGGGAAGGGCAGCGCTGTACCCATTGTACAGACGAGGAAACCAAGGTGCTCGGAAGCTTCACAGCACGTTTAACACCGAGTTGCCTAGGAAACACCGCAGCTGGGTGAGACCCCAGTCTAGGTGCTTCCTTGTGGAAGGACAGGACCACGCTTCTCCACTCCCCCTCGTCTGGCATCGCTTGCTTCCATTCGTGACTTGGCTCATGGAGACGAAGCGGTGGTGGGTCCCCAACCTCCCGCTGGGCGGGAGCCCAGGACGCCTACCTGGTGGGTGTTGATGGACTGCAGGCCGGTGACTATCCAGTCCACGTCCGGCAGGGGCGACCCGGAGCCGTTGCAAGTGACCACGGCGTTGTCCCCCTCCCGCACGGTCAGGTTGACGTGGCTCACACTGATCTCAGGAAGGTCTGGGAGGGAGGACAGGGAGGGGGAAAGACAGGCGCACACTGACCACCAGGGCTCCGCCCACGGGGTGGACGCGGCACGTCCAGTCTGGCAGGATAACTGCTCCGAGGTCGCCGCCTGAGTTCTCGGAAGGCACCCAGGTCCCCGAGGCGTCACACCACCTCCCCAGGGGACATCGAGACTCAGAATTTAGGCCCCTGCAGCGGACTCTCCTCCAGGGCACGGACTTGGGGGTCGGGGCACTCAGTGGCTCCACTTCGGGGAGCCGGTTCTCAAAAATTTGCTCTGCTCTGACCCGCCTGGGGGCGTCTGCTAGAAATCCCCATTTCTGGGACCCCACCCAGACACCCTGATGTCGCAAGTCTGTGTGGGGCCCAGGAACCTGCTTTTCTAAAAGACCCTGAGACGCCCCCGACACAGGAGGTCCAGAGGCTGCACGGGAGGCGCACCCCTCCGGGCCTGGCTGACGAGCAGCTCCCACAGAGGATGCACCGGGCCTGCCCAGGAGGCACAGGCGTGGCCCAGGAGGAAAGAGGTGAGACCCAGGTCTGCGCCCAGGGCAGAGTCAAGGCCAGGGGTGGGGGGGCCACACAAGCACCCGGGCTCACGGGCGGCGCCGGCTCTGGCTCTGGGGTCGGGGCAGGGGTGCGGCTTGCTCACCGCACTGGCTGATGTTCATGCGGAAGAGGGGCAGCTGGGAGCCCTCGGCGCTGATGCAGTACAGGCTCTGGCTGTTCAGCTTGGCCTCCCCCTGCTCCTGCCACAGCTGCATCCAGCGGATGTCACAGCTGCAGTTGAAGAAGTTCTGCTCCAGCCTCCTGCGGGCGAGAAGGTGGGGGGAGGGAGCTCCTGAACCGCGAGTGGCCCGCCCCCTCCCGGGGCCCCGAGGGGCCCCCTGCTCTTCAGGGATGATGGAGAAAAGGGGTGCAGCATGGCCGCAAAAGAAATTTAAAAAAAAACACTTAAGACGTCCCTGGATCTATTTAGGTTTCAAACTAATAAATTCTCATTTGAAAAGAGGACATCCACTCCACCGAACTCACTCAAATATATCAGCTTGGGACACTCCCCTGCTCAGACCTCTGCTTTCAGAGCCCAAGTCCAAGGCCGGCGGCGTCTGGACTGCTCTCCCTCCCTCTGAGCTCGACTCCCACCTCTCTCCTCTCCTCTCCCCTCCCCTCCTCTCCTTCAGCCACACCCAAGATTCACCCGCACCCAACACTACATACGCTGAACGCCTTACCCACGTCCCCCCAGCGAACCCCGGCAATGGGAGGAGGCGTGGGGAAGGGGAGCGGGGCCAGGGCAGGCCTGAGGCAGCGCGGCAGTGGCCTGAGTTTGCGGTGTAGGGACTACGTGGAGGCCCGGCAGCCCTGCTGGGGGGACGCTGAGGGTCCAGGCCCCTGAATACATGCGCACTGGTGCCGCTCAACCTGGTCTAGCCCAGCCGCTTACTCGACAAGACGCGGTCACTCACTGTGAAGTACCCGTAACAGTACAAACTGTCCACCTGGGGGGACACTCTAGACCAATCAGGGCGCTTCGGTCAGGCCTCCTCTGCGCTGAGCCGGCCTGCCGCGCACCAGCCGCTCAGGGCCCCCCGGGGAGGCGGGCAGTGCCGGCATGTGCTGAGGCCGGTGGGGGCCCGAGGTGAGACCTCTGGGACGTGGCTAAGACACGCCAGCACGGGCACACCAGCGGCATTTTTGTTCCTTTCCATCCTTTTCCTCGGGGACCCGACCCAACAGAAGGGACACGCCACGAGACCTGGTCCTCTCCTCCCGTCCAGAGTCTTCTGGGAGCCGGGGAAGAACCCCGAGTTACGCCCCCCCCCACCACCTTCTGGACGCTTCTCCTGGACAACAGGCCGCAGAAAGCCGCAGATGTCGTGGGCTACGGAACCCAGGCCCCTTCCCTTTCTAAGGCATCATCTCTACGACAACCTCTGACCCTTGCTCTGATTTCTGGACAGGCAGCTCCAGGCTTCTCTGGAAGGGAAAACACCGTCCTGCCATAACCAGAAACTTCTGGGAGGGCTGAGCAACGCCAGCTCCAAGGGCCTCCCACCCACGCCGCGGGAACGGCGCCGACGACTCCAAAGCAGGCCTTGGAAGCAGGGACGGAAACACAACCAGGACCAGGTGCTTGGCCGAGAGCACAGCCCTCCTCGCACACAAGTCGGTGAGAAGGGAGAGGAGGAAGCCCCTGGCACAGGGCAAGGGCTGGAGCACACTTGCGTGTTTGGGTTTACCCCTCTGGATGACACGCCGGGGGTCCTCCACCGCGAGAGCGGCTTCTGGAAGGTGACGTGAGTCTCGTGGGCTACGTGGCCGAGTGGTACAAGGACAGAGCTCGGGTCTGTGGAGACAGCAGGCCTGGACGGCGGCCACAGTCCCAACACTGATGCCCAGAGTTCCCATGTACTAGCCGCGTGATGGTAGACCAGTTGTCTGACATGGCCAAGCCTCAGAGCTCTCCTTTGTAAAGCTGGTTGTAAGGATACCCCCTTGTGGGACTGTTCCAAGGATGAGACAGGACCTTGTACGCATTAGGTGCTCCATATATGCCTCTTCTTTCTCCTCCATTACTGGGAAAGTTGTAGACATCCAGCCCTCCCAATGGGGCACCCCCACACCAGTCGTTCTATCACGGACCTTCCATTGGGGAGGGGCCGGTTGGCGTGGGCGCAGCTCCTAAGAAATGGCCCAATGTCCCAGCTTTCCCCTCTGTTCTTGCAGGAGGCCACTTGAACCTCGGCCTCCTCTTCTGGCTGCCACAGCACACCCCGTCCCCCTCCAGCCCCTCCTCCAGGGCCGAAGTCCTTTCTTCCCGGAAACACCCGGCCCGTTCCCACACCCCAGCCCGCGGGCTCCGCCGGGCAGACCCTGGCAGCCTGGATGGCTCGTGGCAGATGGCGCCATGTGGACTAATCAGGAAGTCGGACGAGAAAACACTGCCCCCTCTTCCGTGTGCCAGGAACCGAGATTGTTTGGATTTTAATCATGGCCACAGCGCAGAGCCAGCACACGGCCCCTCCGGCCAAACGACAAATTTTCCACTCGCACCATTCAGTTCTCCCTCAAAATACAGACCCTTCCCAGGGCGACTGCCCCTTAGAGGGGGGCTTCTTTATCCTCCAGTGTAACGTTCTTCTTCTTTAACCACAGGACAGAAACGAAATGCTCCGTGGGTGTGACGGCTCACACACTGACTCACTCCAGGGGAAGCATCTTCATTCCCTGTAAGTCATGTCCAGCTCACTGGTATATCGATCTCGGGCAAAGATAAATGCAGAATCCCAGGATCCTCTGGGAGAAACGTGGCATCTTCTTTCGATACGTGTCCTCAGAACATCTGTTTCCAAAACTCCACGCCACGGGCCACCAGGGCAGCACACCACTGATCTCGCCCCCGGCGGCTCTTCGTAGGGCGCACTGAACACTTTCTCAGTAACTGAGCCTCCTGCAGCGTCCAGGTGTCCCCCAGAGAGACGCCATCCCCTGCAGGTGCTCCAGGGGAGCTGGATGCCCAGGCTCCCCCCAAAAAAGAGAGCCCCCAATTAGCTCCCTTGTGTCAGGGCCCCCGATCAGTCCTAGGGCAACGCAGGGAGAAACTGCAATTGTTCACGTTTTGAAAGTGACTGTAGCCCAGACCCCTGGGCTGGAAACAGACTGGAGAAGTCGGGAGGTAGCTGAGCACGGAGGTCAAGGCCTTGAGCCCGCATGCGAATGCTTGATTGGAGGGTGGCCTTGACTAAGAGGCTTAACGTTGCTAAGCACCTCGGTGTCCCTGAATACGAAATGACAGTAGTCACTCCTACCTATAGAATTGCCATAAGGATTGAAGCGAGCAACACACGTAACTCTACCGACTGCCTGGCTCAGCGCCTGGCACAGAGGAGGGTCTCAGAAACGGTGCTGGTGTGATCGCACAGTCTGGCTGATCCACCGCTGAGGCCTCTTCTACCTGCGAAGATGGGAATGCGCACATCCCGCCCAGCGTGCCCATCCGACAGTGGAGATGTCTGGAACTTCGTCTAGTGTTTCAGCGTGTATTTATAAAGAAACACGTCTACATTCCCCTTTCGAAAGCTCTCGGAAGGGTTTTTACTGGGGTGCCTCTGGATCGCAGCCGGGCGGGACTGAGGAGCTCTGACCGCTTGCCGGCCGTGCGCGCACCGGAGCGGGGCCTGGGGAGAGGGCGGGACCCGAGAGGGGGAAGCGCCCACAGCAGAGCGGTCCTGAACCCCCACATGGTCCACGCAACGAGCCCTGCATTTCCCATCCCTGGGTTGGCCTTTGTAAGCATCACAGGGGCACGCATGTCCGCAAGGCTGAGTAGGGTCCACAAGGTCATCGTGGTGTGACTGGCTATCGGGACACTGGTTGTGGATATCGCCCTTCCTGACTGCTGGGTCAGAAAAGGACTCACTCTCGAACCCAGGTCTCACCAGGTGTGGGGACACACTCAGAAAGGCCAGCAGTGTGGGCAGGGACCGAGGCCGCTACCCCTGGTGAAGACAGCGAAGCCATCTGCAGCCAGCGACCTTGGATCTGCGTCTCCAAGCACAAGGGCGAGCAGGAGCAGCGTCCCTGGAACCCCAACTCCCGCGTGCGTCCGTCCACGCCCCAGCTCTTTCCAGCTCACTGCTCCACTTACTCCCTCCACATAACGAGCAGTCCCTCGTGCCCAGAGGTGACCCCGCTGACTCACACACCAACACGAGTAACTTTTTCCACCAGAGCTCACACATTTTCACTCATCCATCCAACACGTGTTTGGCCGGGGGGCAGGAGTGGACGGAGCAGCCTAGAAACGCAGCAAGACTAAACAGGCCACAGGCGGATGGAATAAGCACGTGGCCTGAGCCCCTCCGAATGCCCAGGCTCAGGCCGGACAGGCCGACAGAGGCCCTGAGAGGCAGGGACGGTGGGCAGGCTGTGGTCAGAGGCCTGGGTCCGAGAGTGGGCTCTGCCCGGCCCCAGCACTGCGGCCTTGGCTGTGTCTCAGGCGACTTCTGGGGCTCACAGCCCTCACCTGCCGGTGCAGGGGCACTGCTGACAAGGGCGGTGCAGCGACACCAACCCCCTGTGACGCTGTGCTGGTGGAGAATCTACCGCCGTGTAAATGCAAGCCCACCCGCGCATCCACACGGTCAGACAGGGCGAACACTATTTATCAGGGATCGATAAATGCCCTTTGCTCTCACAAACATCGACACCACTAGTACTAATCACCTAGATAGAGGTGACACAACTTGGCCCTGCTCAGAGGTGACAGTCCTGTCTTTGGAGCTGCACTGTGCCCAGAAAGGGGATCAGAAATCCAGCCACAGGGTGACTCGCTGAACATGGTACACCCCGTATCATCCAGCCCAAGCAGCCCCTTCAGGGGACGCCCAGCCCCAGGGGCCCCGTGGCTCAACAATCTCCCCCCCGCCCCGCCGCAAACTCCACCCCCCAACCCCCACTAACTTGGACGGTCCCCAAAAGCACACTTACAGTTCCCGGAGACTCAGCGTCTGGAAGAGCTGCCACGAGAGCGTGGTGAGCCGGTTACTCGACAGGTTTCTGCGGGAGCGACAAGAGAAGGGGGGTTAGAGGGCAAAGCCGGCACAGACAGCACTCTCGGGAGCAGGCTGGGCCACTTCCCGGGGCCTGGCTTCACTGCCCTTCTCCTCCTGTGCTCCATTCGGCGGCCCATCGTCTGGTCGGGGCCACGGGTCAGGTCTGGAGGGGATTCTGAAGCCTTTCCAAGGGGTAAGTGTCACAGATTTTTTTTTTAATTATTTTTCTTGACCCTGCTCCCATATCCACTCCCCACCACCAAAGGTCGGGGAGCCTTCTGGAAGCCGCCCTCCCGCGGGGGCACAGAGAGCACTCCGGAGGCACGCGACTGTGTTATCGCCCCCACGGAGGGGGGGCCGGCCTCCAAACCCTGCGTGGAGTTAACGCGTGCGTCTTGATGAGTCTGAAGGTGAGTGTGCATCCATGAAACCAGCGCCGGAAACAACGCCATGGGCGGAACTACCACCTCTGACCGAGGCTCCTCCCCGCTCTCTTTTTACATGACACGAACATCTGTTAACGTAAGGTCTCCCCCCTTAACAAACTGTGGAGCCTACACTGCAGCTCTGATAGCTGTGTACCGCGCTGCACTATCCAGATCACTGGGACTGGCTCCTCTGCCACAGCTGAAACCACGCACCCTGTTACCAACGAGCGCTCTTTAAAAAACATTTTTTTTTCATTGATTGATTTTAGAGAGAGAGAGAGAGAGGAGGAACATCGATTTGTTGTTCCGCTTACTTAGGCATTCACTGATGGATTCTTGTACGTGCCCTGACGGGGAATCGAACCCGCAACCGTGGTGTATCACGACGATGCTCTAACCAACCTAGCCACCCGGCGAGGGCTCTACCGACAAGCATTCCGCACATTCACACAAGTGGAAAAATCTCTGCACCTGCACCTACCTCCCCTTCCCCCAGCAGAGATGCCCGTCAGTGATTAAGACGTCAGCCTCTCGTTCACACTTCTCTTCTCCCCCTAATGGCCACTTAATTGTTCTCATTAGGATGTACAGGGGAAAGGAGGAGCCATTAGTCTTCCAAACAAACGAAGAAACACGCCCACAGTTATTATTTCGCCGGGCTCCACGAGGAACTTCCGATGCGCTCACGGCCTTCAAAGGCACTGCTGGGACTGAGGCAGCCCCCCAGGAACGGCGCTCCCGTCTCGGGATGACAGAGAGGGTGGCGGTCAGAACCCCACCTAGGCGGACATGCGCACATGCACATGCGCACACATACACACACACACGGGGAGGGGTCTGTGTGGGACAAGCCGGCGGTGATGTGAGCAGAGACCCTCGCCCACACACACACCCAGACGCTGCAATGCACACAGGTGCGTCCACACCAAGACGGCTCCCACGGCGGCTCTTTGTGACGAGAAAAGCACAGGCCTCACGGAGGGGCGAGGCGGGTGGACAACTGGCAAGGCCCCTCTGGGGCTTACGTTCAAGTCACACGTGAAAAGCCGAGAGAACGGCAGCTGTGGGAGCAGAGAAGAGCGGAGGCAGAGTGACGCGGGTGACTGCCGCCGGAGGGGAGGCTGGCTGCCCGAGCCAGGGACCCGGGGCAGAGCCCCGTGAGCGCTCACTCGGCAGCGCTGGGGACCAGAAGAGGGAGAAGGAGCCACACCAGGGAGGAGGGGGTGCTCTAGGGAGTGGGGGTAGCATGTGCGAAGGCCTGAGAGGGACCAGGGACTGGGCGGTGGGGCAGAAAGGAGGCCAGAGGGCGTGGTCAGGGAGGGAGGAGGGGGGACGTGCCACCCCCACCTTGCTATCCACGGTAGGGTTTGGGCTTTATTTTAAGGAACAACAGGAAGGTGACAAATGGCCCTCCGAAGGGAAGGGCATAACGTGACTGCCATTCCCCAGGGCAGGAGGACAGCGCTGGTGGTGGCAGACCGCTCAGGAGGCTGCCACGATGCTCCGGGCAAGGAGAGGGGGGCGGGATAATTAAGGGGACAGACTCGGGTGCTGGAGGTAGGGCCACCGGGGCTTCCTCCTGGACTGGATCTGGCAGAGGGAGGAGAAAGCAACCAGGCAAATGGCGATGTCATTTAGCGAGAGGAGGACGCTGGCAAAGGTCCCATTTGTGAGGGGAGGTGGCGAGGGGGGAATCGAGAGCCCCCCCTCTCGAGAACGCTGCGTATGGTGCCTGCTGGGTGTGTCTGTGGGCCGACGCAGGGGCGCGGGCTCGAGGGAGACGTGGGGCCGGGGTGAGATCGCAGAGTAGCACAGAGCAGCGCGGGAACAGACGGTCAAAGACAAGAACAGCCTGAGGGACAGGCTCCCCCTTCCCGCCTGAGGCAGCCCCATCTTGGGCGACCGCCCACGACTATGCGGAGAGGCGGCCCCCACTGTAAGGGTGCAGGGGACTGCTGGAGAAGGGAAGGGACCACGGGCAGGCATCCCTGCCCCCCGTTTACTGCTCCGACCTCTGCCCCGCAGCCAGCACCCCCTCCTCTCAGAATCCTTAAGGCCACACAGCCCTCTCTAGGGCAGCCCCCACACCCGCCAAACCCTCACGAACTCCTGGTGGGAGTGGCGGCACCCAAGCCATAACCCACCTGCAGACTCAGCTTCACGAAGCCCTAGGGACGGCCTGTCAGTCTCCTGCCAAGAGCCTCATGCCCCACTGACGGGGAGGGAGGGGCGGTGAAACAGGCAGGATGACCCCTGGGGGCCCCACTGGGGACCAGCTCCCATGGGGCCCCTCCTACTTGGGCAGGCAGAGCAGGGTAGCAGAGGCATAGCCCCACTGAGTCATGAACTACATACCGGGAACTCCAGCCTCGGGGCGAAGGGAGTCTTCATCACTGCGAGACTCCTCACCCCTGGCCTTGGTGGTGACTCAGTAAATGGGAGGGACACAGCCAGTACAAGTGGTTTGCTTTGCAAAAGCAAGTGGTTCCTGGCTTCCTGTCCTCCCACAAGGGACAGGGTCCCACTGCCCCGGCTGACCTCCAGCCCTGGGGCACCCAAACCAAAGCCCCGGTCCAAGAGCTGAGCGGCAGCGGCCAATGAGATCAGCCCTGGACACAATCGCTGCGCCCTGGGAACAAAAGCTGGGGCAGGGACGGGGCGGGGGACAGGCACGAGACCGCAGTGGCCCAGGTGAGGTGGGAACCCTTGCAGCTCTCCGGGGAGGACCCGTCAGGGGCCCAAGGCAGGGAGGCGGGCTGCCAGCAATGTCCTTTCACAAAGGTCATGTTTTGCTACATTTGGCATAAATGTCACAAGAAAATTGGATTCTGAAAGAAAGAAAATAACAGGCTTTCTGGGCAAATAAAGAATGAGAAACAGCAGTATCTCACAAGATAGAGAAAGGCGGAGGTTGGAGCACTAGAGGTGGGCTCCGGCTCTCCCAGGGGTGTCTCAGCTTCGGAGGAGAAAGGGCCCCTCGGGTTCCCGCGCTCGTGGCCAGATGGAGGGGCCATAGCAGCTAGGACTCTGTGTGCGCATGCGCTCCTCCGCCAGCGCACCAATCCACCAATCCCCGCCGCTCTGTGGGAGAGCAAGGCCCTCTGACTCCTCCCTCAGGCCCTCCCCTCCTCTCCCCTCCCCACCCTCCGCCCCCCCCCCGCCCCGCCCCTGCCACCAGCAGGGACCGAGCAGCGCTCTCCTGCATTCGTGACCTCATTCCACATTTACAGCCACCACGCCAGGTGGGTATTACCACCATCTCCAGGCTCCAGAGGAGGAAACGGGGGCTCAGAGGTTGCTGTTCGAAGGTGAAGGGCTCTGAGTAGCCTTGAGGCAAAGACTCGCGACAGGCAACAAGCCACGCCCCCGGGAACACTGCATCAGACACACAGGTAAACTCCCAAGTGGCACCCGCACCACCCGGTGCGTGGGCCCAGAGGCAGAAAGCAGGCCCTTCTGTAGCGACACTACAGGTGCAAGGCACGAAGGGGCAGAACACGCCAGCCGTGCAGCCTCACCGTGCGCTCAGTTCCAGACACACACGATAAGCCGAGCCCGCCTTTGGCCTCCCTCCCCCACCAGCACTCCTGAGCTCTCCCAGTGCGGGGTGAGCGGGGAGGCTGAGGCACGGGGCTCTGGCAGGCTCACCACCCACGCGGAACTCACTGTCCCTGGCTTTTCTTCCAACGGGCGCCTCACCTGTATTCGCCTGTCACGGGTTATTGATGGGCCGCTTACTCCGCTCATCAGAACAGAGTTTAATTAAGAACCGTGATGCCTCTGGGCCCCCGGCAGCCTTCTGCCGGAGCCTCCTCCCTCTCAGATCCATTATCTCCGTCCCGGATGTTTTGCCTGGGCCAGGGCGTAGTTTCCAAGCCACCTGACCACGGGAATTAATCCGGTGAGCAAGATGTTACGAGATGATGCATCCAACACTTTCCCAAAATCAAGCTCCGTGACAGTGCCCCCGCATCCCTCGTCTGAGGTGACCAGACAAAGCCATTAATTCTGTCTTGCGCCGCCGGCTCCGTCACAGCCCAGACTCCGGGCCAGCGCTGTGGCGAAGGAGCCCAGTGCACGCACGGCCCGACGCTGACCCTGAGGCCGGAGGGGGCCAAGGGGGCCCCTCCTGCCTGACCCCGTGCTGAGCGGTGAGCAGGGCTCCCCCAGGCCAAACCTGCAGCAGGGTAAGCGGCCCCACAACCAGGGAAGGATGGCACCTCTGCCCTCGGGTCCCTGCTGGCCAGCGAGAGGGTCACTCCAGAGGGGCCTTGGTTGCCAGCAGAAGCCAACCTGATGAATTCTTCTGTTGCCCCTCGGGGCTGAGAGCCAAGAAGAGAACACTAAGCCCCACCCACAAAGTGGCCCCAACGTGGATCCTTCCAAAAGCGGACGGCATTGTGGATTTCCTGGCCGAACGGCGGGGCAGACATCCGGAAATGCCTCCTCGTCTCCTGGCAGAGGCAGCCCCGTGGGCAGCTCCGTCTCAGGATCCTTCGGGTGCGAGTGCACAGGTGCCACCAGTACCAGGTGCCCCACCGTCCCTGTGCTGTTAGGCCAGACTGCCCGGCCCCCC